AAGAGAATAAATAAAAGCCTAAATATATATATATATATATATTAATCAAGCCAAATAGGTAATGACCACACTTATTATTATTATTATTAATATTTATTTTTTCAAACAGTATATAGATAAACACACACAAACAAAATGGTTGAGTGATAGCAGCTGAATAGAATAGCATAGGCCTTACAACTTCAACAAATCAATAACATGTTCTTCATCTTCTATCTTCTCTCTCTATCTCTTGTTCTTCCATCTTCCCTCTTCTCTCTCTATCTCTCTTCCCCCATTTCAACTTTTTTTTTTTTTTTGTGTTTTTTTGAAAGAAGCAATTAAGAACCGTTACGTAACAGTGCGTAACAGGCCGTTATGGCACCGTTACGACCGCTATAGCAGCCGCTACGGCCGATACACCTGTGAATCTCAATCACACTGCAAAAGCGGCCGTAACGGGTGGCGGTAACTACCACAACCGTTACGTAACGGCGTTACGTAACGGTTGCGGTCGCTTTCTAAAACCTTGATTCCAACACTTTTAGGAAGCTTTATTGAAAAATTAAGAGGTATTACTCCCATAAGGCAGAAACATAAAAGAATCACTACTCTTGAGGCCTTTTGGGGTTGTATTTGTTTATTTATTTTTAATATAATATTGTCAACAATGCCTGTGCCAACATTGTGAAACCTGGTGTTCTTTTTTTGATCGGCATGTGAAACCATGTGAAACTTGTGAGAATATTAGGTTAGGCAGTGTTTCCTTTTCGGGACAGTGGTACTTCCAATGACTCCTCTGATGGGAAAAAGCACACTCATTAGAAGCTAAAAACGTCATAAACAGAAAGCTTAGGGGTTCAAATTGTAATTACCCACAACTAGAATCAGATGGGTCAAATTGTAATAAGCAACAAATTATCCAAAAAACCTATAAACTGCAAAGGTCTTGAATAAAAGATATAATAATCAAGTGGGGTCAAAATATAGTAACCATAATTTTGACCTAGAGACCACAAATATTCCCAAGTCAGAAGAAAGCACCGAACTAGAAGCACCAGAGGGAGATTAAACACAATTATCCTAAGTCAAAGGAAGCACCGAAGCAGAGAACTAGAGAAAGATTGAAGCTGGTCGAAAGAAGCTAGGTAGCTACCACGATCGTGATTTCGGAGAGGGAGAGAGAGAGAGAGATGTTGCGACCATGGTGCAATTTTAGAGGGAGGTTGTAACGTCCCAACCTTTCACATGTCATCAAGGTTCTGAAAAGCGGTTAATATTCCCAAGTCAGAAGAAAGCACCGAACTAGAAGCACCAGAGGGAGATTAAACACAATTATCCTAAGTCAAAGGAAGCACCGAAGCAGAGAACTAGAGAAAGATTGAAGCTGGTCGAAAGAAGCTAGGTAGCTACCACGATCGTGATTTCGGAGAGAGAGAGAGAGATGTTGCGACCATGGTGCAATTTTAGAGGGAGGTTGTAACGTCCCAACCTTTCACATGTCATCGATATTGTCTGCTTTGGGCCATGCCCGCACGGATTTGTTGTTTCCCGTGGGTTACCCATCTCAAAACTACTTCAGTCTAAGCACGCTTAACTGGGGAGTTCTGCTAGGGATTTCATTACCCTAGAAAACGCCTCGATTCTATGTAAGGGTCCAGGTTTTTACTTTTATATTCCAGGAACTCCCCCTCTATTCCCAATGTGGGACACCGGGACCTTATAATCCATCCCCTTAGGGCTGTACGTCCCCGTGCAGTAGCCTGCTAGCTCGCAAGCCCACCCACATGCACCGAGAGACGCTAGAGCCCACAATCAGTACTCCAGAGAGTTGGCTCTGATACCATTTGTAACGCCCCAACCCTTCATATGTCGTCGATATTGTCTGCTTTGGGCCATATCCGTCCGGATTTGTTCTTTCCAGTGGGTCACCCATCCCAAAACTACTCCAGCCTAAGCACATTTAACTGGGGAGTTTTGCTAGGGCTTTCACTATCCTGGAAAAGGTCTCGATGCTATGTAAAGGTCTAGGTTTTTACTTTTATAGCTCAGGAATTCTTCCTCCATTCCCGATGTGGGATGCCGAGACTTTACAGAGGTCGCGTTTGATGGCCATGAACTAGAGGCTAAAACAAAAGGGTTGATTTGAACACAAATGAGGACTTGAGCCAAAGAACTCGATCAAACTAGAGATCAAAACTAGAGATGATTTTGAACCAAAGAGAGAAATTCGAACCAGAGGGAACTTCGAATCAAAGGCAGAACCTTGAATCAGAGGAAACTTCGAATCAATCAGAGGTAAGAACTAGGGTTTCGAACGCGGTTCTAATACCATGTAAGTTTTTGAATAAATCTATATATTCAAAATTGTGTAATAATATAAAAAATACATCTAATTATATAGTAAACCTAACCCCAAGACTAAAAGAAACACTGTCTAACCTAACATTGTCACATGTAATTTTTTGAATAAATCTGTGTATTCAAAATTGTGTAATAATACAAAGAGTACATCTGATTATATAGTAAACCTAATCCCAAGACTAAAGGAAACATTATCATATAAATACACCTAAAACACTGCCACATATATAAATCAAACCTAAAGGAAACACTACCATATATATACACCTATGCAATCTCTCAGAAAAGGAAACACTGCCTAACCTAATATTCTCACACCCTTGCTCAAACTCAAGGTATTGTAGCAAAAAACGTTGAGAGTTTGCTAAAAAGAAACTAAAACCGAGCAGTGGTGTGAGTCTTGGTAAAAAAGTCAGCAAGTTGCAAAGTTGAAGAGACGAAAGGAAGCGAGATAGAGCCGGACTGCAGATGCTGACGAACAAAGTGACAATTAATCTCAATGTGCTTTGTTCGCTCATGGAAGACAGTGTTATGGGCAATCTAAATAGCACTAAGGTTATTACAATAGAGGGAGGTCAGAGAAGACTGAAGGACGCCCAACTCAGAGAGAAGGCAACGAAGCCAGACAACTTCATCAGTAGTGTGAACCATAGCACGATACTCAGTTTCAGTAGCAAAACGAGTAATAATAGTTTGTTTCTTGCTTTTCCAAAAACTCATTGAATTGCCAAGAAACATACAAAAACCAGAAGTGGACTTACAATCTGTAACATCACCATTCCAATCAGCATCAGCATAGACAAGTAAAGCCAAGGAAGAAGTAGAGGACAACAGCAATCCTTGGAAGATAGTACTGCGAAGACAGTGAAGAATCCGAACTAAAGCAGCCCAATGTGTAGAACGAGGAACAGAAACGAACTGACTAACCACACGAACTACATAGGCAAGATCAAGACGAGTAACCGTCAAATAGACTAAGCAACCTATGAGCTCCCGATATAAAGTTGGATCAGGTAGAGGAACACCATCAGTAGTATTAAGTTTCACATTAAGTTCAATGGGGATATCAGCAGTCTTAGTGTTAGTAAGACCAGCACGGTGAATAACTTCATTAGTATACTTAGCCTGAGATAGAAAGTAGCCATTGGGAGAAAAAGCCACCTCAATACCAAGAAAGTACCGCAATGGGCCTAAATCCTTCATTTCGAAGGTGCGGAAGAGATGCTGCTTGACTTCAGAGATAGTAGAAGAATCAGAACCAATAATAATTATATCATCCACAAACAGTAATGAGACAACAAACCCAGGAGAGGTGTGGAGGAGAAACAAAGTAGAGTCCTGGGCAGAAGGATAAAACCCAAGCTCAGTAACAGCAGTCTGAAAGCGATCATACCAAGCATGAGGAGATTACTTCAGACCATACAGAGCACGCCGAAGACGACAAACCTGTTCAGCGGAATGGTGAAGAGGAATGGTGATGGCCAGGGGGAGGACACATTTAAACCTTCTCAGCGAGATGACCATTATGAAAAGCATTCTTAACATCTATTTGATAAAGAGGCCGATTACGAACAGTAGCGACAGATATCAAAGTACGGACAGTAGTCATCTTGGCAATAGGGGCAAAGGTCTCCTCATAATCAATACCATACTCCTGGGAAAAGCTCTTGGTAACTAGGCGAGTCTTGTAGCGCTCAAGAGAACCATCAGAATGAGTCTTGACTTTGTAGACCCATTTGCAACCAACCAGATTCTTACCAACAGGTAAAGGAATCAACTCCCAAGTATTAATATATTCAAAATTGTGTAATAATACAAAAAATACATCTGATTATATAGTAAACCTAATCCCAAGACTAAAGGAAATACTGCCATATATATACACCTAAATCACTGCTATATATATAAACCAAACCTAAAAGAAACACTGCCATATATATACACCTAAAATACTGCCATATTTATACACCTATACAATCTCTTAGAAAAGGAAACATTGCCTAACCTAATATTCTCACAGTGTTCTTTCTTGTGCTTTTAGCATATGTTTCTCAACCTTGCCCGTGTTTTTTAACATAATGTTATGCCTTTTAGTAACCTTCTAACTGCAAACCTCATCTTCACGACTTTTTTGACAGTTTTTTTTTACCAACATTCTGTTAAAAGTGAAGTGAAGTGAAGTGAAGTTTCATGGTGAAGATTCATGAAATTTCAAAGTAGTTTACATTGTTTCTAACTTGCAAAATTCAAAGCTTTTCTTGTTTATATCTTGCTTGGATGCTTGGAGTTGGTGTTAATTTTATTCAACAATGGTTGGCTAGACCTGCCTCATCTTGGATTTAGATTGACATGTCTAATAAAATGTTTGGTTCCCATTTGTCAGTTATTTTCGTCAACTTAATATCCTCTGCCCTCCCTCTTCCCAGAACCCCTTACTCGCAATTATAAAGTATGCCTCTTTCTTCTTTGATGTATACTAAAAAATGTTTACCACAACAAACAGCATTCTCCATGATTGTTTCTTGATAATTCTTGTTATTGTTATGTGTAAGTGTTAATTATTGGGCCTCCCTTTGGCATGATATCGAGTCTACTTTGCTATTTTTCCTGGATTATTATGTAAATTTGTCTCATACTTGTTATGTTTCTTCTTCAAGGGCCTTGTTGTTCCTGTAATCCGCAATGCCGACCAAATGAATTTTGCTGATATAGAGAAAGCGATCAATACCCTTGCAAAGAAGGCAAATGATGGTACCATATCAATTGATGAGATGGCTGGAGGCTCATTCACAATATCTAATGGCGGTGTCTATGGAAGCCTTCTAAGTACTCCAATCATTAATCCTCCTCAGGTATGATGCTTCTTCTCAGAGTTGTTTTCCTTCTTGTTTATGCAGACAACGAACACATTTCTGTGAAATTATCTGATGAACTAACTACTTTTTAATAGTTAGAGACAGGGCTGGTTCCCACATTTCTGTCCTTTTGGGACATGATCTGATCACGTATTTACATTCAGTTCAACTTGGTATTGGGAAAAACTAGATTTTGAAAATGGTTCTAGAAATGTTATTTTTAAAACTACAATACAATCATCCACAATGCAGGAAAGTATCTATTTCATTCAGAGGAGTGAATGTTTGTACAGATAGTATCATAATACATGTTTGTGGTACTAGATAGTAGTTGTTGATGCTTTCCTGGGGTAGAGTAGAGCTGGTAGTCCGGTTCTTTAGGGATGCAATTCTAGCATGTGACATTTATGATTGAAATGATAGAAGCCTTCCAACTGTTCCAATGGCTTAATGGAAATTTCATTATACATTTGAATGAAGGAGGTGCCTTATTATTTTTTTCCCTTCTTTTGAAATGTTTTTTGCAGTCGGCTATTCTAGGCATGCATACAATAGTGAGTCGTCCGATGGTGGTAGGGGGTGAAATCATCCCAAGGCCAATGATGTACATAGCATTAACTTATGACCATAGGCTGATTGATGGAAGAGAGGCTGTCTTCTTTCTGCGTCGCATCAAAGATGTTGTCGAGGACCCTCGGAGACTCCTCCTTGACATATAAAAACAGCAGCAGAGGCAACTATGCGATTTCTTCTTCGCTGGTATATTGGTAATTTTATATACTTGGTTTTGCTGAAGTGAAATAATGCTCATAGCTACAATTTACGGGGTTATGTTCTCCCCATAGTTTTTCAGTTGTGGCCCGCAAGGATCAAGTTCTGCAATTTTTTTTTGAACTAATCTAGTTTGCAAATTTGAGAGCTACTAGTTATTGCATATTTTCTGAATCAATGGGTTCTGCTTGTCATTTGGTTATTCCTTCGGGTATGCAAAGTTATAGATTGCAGAATTTTAGACTGTTCATTTGTATCCAAAAAATTCCAATATTGAAGAATTACTTGCTAGTTTTAGGAAGTTCTGAAAATAGCTTCCATTCTTTTATTTTCCCAGTGACTGAGCAAAGGTATGTGGAGTCGTTTTCATGGGCGGAGCTATGAATAAAGTAGTGGGTTCAATTGAGCCCACTGCACTTTGAGTTTTTTTTTTTCCAAAGAATTGTGTAGTATTATATAATTTTTTTAAAGAAGTTTTCATAAATTGACATCATTAAAATTGTTCAAAAAAATAACTAATTGCATACTTATGATATTTTTATACTATTTTTTCTTTAGCACACATAACTGTTAATGATTGAATATGAGTATGAATATGAATATGAATGATACTTGTATGGATTCCAGTACAACAACCATGGTGTATATGTCACACATTAGGACTCTGTCTATTTTGATGTAAAATATTTTCCTCAAAATTATTGTTCATTACTATAAAAATATTTTACTCATTTTCTATGTTTGGTCGATCAAAAAACAAGTAAAATATTTTTGCATTATTTTTCTAAAAATAACTTACCTTTAAAAATTTCAAAGTCAATTTTTATAAATTTGACTCTCATTCACTACATTTTTAACACATTTCAAATAAGTATTAAAAAGTTATAAGTGACATTTTATTGAATCAAAATTTCTCTTTTAGACAATAAAATATTTTGGATAAATTACACTTTAACTCCCTGTGATTTACTCAAAAAACACGGAGTTTCTCTATAGTTTCATTTTTAATAATTAAACCCCTGAACTTTATACCAGTGTGTAATTTCGGATGGATGTAACAGAAGTTATAAAAGTCTAAATTATCCTTATTTCTTTATCTAATTTTCTTATTAATGCCATTACAAATCAAAACATTATTTCTCATTTTTCTTTGATTTTTTTGTACTCTTTTCCTCTTCTTGTTCTTCTCTCATTTTTTTTCTCATCCCATAGCAAACCACACACATCTCATACCATCATCAAATACATATCTCCCTCTCTAGAATTTAGACCCAAACAAACACTCATATCTCTCTCTCTCTCTCTCTCTCTCTCTAGAATTTAGACCCAAACAAACATTCCATAGCTGCAAACACCTACGAAGCTCATCCTATCTCCTCCGCTCAACTAACACCCACCACATTCCCCTCTCACAACACCCATGGTGGTAGCCACTTCTATAATTTGGGTCTCGACTTAGTTAATTGGGTATGTCTATATATATAATGTATGTGTGTCTATAGTGATAAAGAGAAGATGAAGGATGAAGGTGGTTGTCACGCTAGAGAGAGAGTGTAAGAGACTACCATGGGAGCTCATGGTTTCAGTGATGGTGGTTTTAGGCTATTGTAGAAAATGAGGGAGAATGACATGGAGAAGATAAAGAGGGAGATGGTGGCAATATGTGTAATATGGTAACAATGAAGGGAAGCATATGATGGTGGATAAAGGAGTAGAAGCGAGAGAGGTTGAGCTTGGCTGGGTTAACTTTATTTGAGTTAAGAGAATGATATATATAGATTTTAGAAGAATGATAAAACAAAAATGAAATGGAAAGATGGAGAAATGAGGGAGATAAGTTAGAGAGAGAGGGAAGCATTTTAGAGAGAGAACTAGCATCTCTAATTTTCAAAAAAATTGAGAAGAAGAAAAAGCCAAGAAATTATCAAGTGTGGTAGAGGGGGGAAATTTTGGTTTAATGGTCGTGCAACACATACTCTGTTAAAACAAACGGTTTCATCGGAAATTACATTTTAGTATGAAGTTCATGGAGTTTAAGTGTTACAGATAAAATTACAAGGGACTTTGTATTTTTTGGGTAAATTACAGGGGTTAAAGTGTAATTTACCTAAATATTTTTGTTTCAAGTGTCAACCAAATGTTCAAAAACAAAAGCAAATATATATATATATATATTTTTTTGTAAAATCAATTTAAAAGATTTTTTTTTTTTTTGGTGTAAAATGTTTTACGTCGAAATAAATAGTCTAGATAGTAAATAAAACATGATGTAAAATATGGTGAATGTAATTTTATTGATATAATAAATATCATATTATTTTTATTTTTTTTTAACAATGGTATAAAAATAAAAATAAAAATCGTAGAATTTTTTTGCATAAAATGATATAATTTAATATGAACGTTTTACTTTAAAATAAACACTCATGAATATGCTTTTTTATTTATAACATCATTTTTGTGATTTCTTTTTTGGTATAAATTTTATATATAAATAGAGTTTATAAAAAAAAGAAAAAAGAGAAAAGAAAAGAAAAAAAGAAAGGAAAATATGCTTCTTTCAAAGCGTGGAATTTTTTATTTTTTATTTTTTTTAGGCAGAAAAACAGGTAATATATTAAAAGAAAAATAGACTTCTTTTAAAACACAGAATTCTTAATTGCTTACAAAGACTTTTTTCTTTTTGTTTCTCAAGAACAATATTTTGTCTCTTCTTTCTATTTGATTGATTGAAAATCGCAACCTCGTTGTCTTTAATTTTATTGAAGAAATAGTATATTAGTGTACCTAAGTATTGTTGCGTAATTTGACCAGTTTGAATTATTTTGTAATATTATTATACATGATATTTTAGTATATTTATAGTAGATATGTGAATTCATTTCGATAAGTATTCTAGAATTAAAAATATAGTGTAATGATACCGCTGATAAATGATTAAATAACACCACTAAAGAAATTTTCTAGCTACGCCATTAATGGAAGATTCCAGAACCTCCTAAAAAGTTTGAGAGAATATAAAAATATTGTACACAATTCTAGAACTTGTTGAACTTGTATAGAATATCTTAAAGTGGATTCTAATTAGTTTTAGAAAGGTTTTGTATAGAATATCCTTGAGTGGATTCTAAATAGTTTTAAGACGGTTAAAAAGATTGTGGAAGGTCTGTCAATCGATATTATCTTATTGCTTGCATTATGGTTAGCTATGCTTAAGCAAGTGAAAAATGGAGTTAGGCACAAATTTAATAGTTTTGCTAAATAGCCCTCACCTTTTTATTGATCTCACCCACCTAAATTACTCACCACCTTACTATAGTATAATCTTGTAACTATTTTCAACTTATAGGAATAATGTAAACATGAACCAAATTACAGCAAGGTAAAGCAAAATTTACCCTAAATTTTATTGACAAACTAGTGTGTTGCTTTACCCTGCTAATTAATAATATCAACAAAACAATATCGATCCATATTTCTTGACATACATGACATAATATCACATGACACCTAAAAATATAAGTAACACAATATGCGCTTTGAAGTTCAATCAAATGACCATGGTATAACAACAAAAACAAATCAAATGATCATATACTCTTTTTCGGTATTTATTTTCACCAACTACCAAATAGAAGTATTAGCATTTGTAGCCGCATTCAAGTTCATCTAAACAAGTCAAACTGAGGAACCAACGGGGAAATCAATAAGCTAAAAACAGAACAGAAATTATGGCTTGTAATATTTTGTTGGTACAAAAGGCATTTTTGTGACATTTCCATCATAGGCCTTCCCGCGGATCAAAATCTTAACTTTGGTGCCCGCTTTGTGTGACCCGGTTTTCACATACCCCATTGCAATGTTCTTCTTGAGACAGGGACTGAATCCTCCACTAGTGACTTCACCAATGGAATTCCCTTTGTCATCCTGAATCTCACTGTGGCTTCTGGGAGGCGGACCTGAAGAGAAAAAACCGGCACGCCTGATTGATGGACCCTCTTCAAGTTGCTTGAGGATCACCTCGGCGCCAAGAAACCCGCCTTGGGCTCTTCTTCGCTTACCTATGGCCCAAGTGAGCCCAGCCTCAACCGGTGTTACGTGTTGTTCCATGTCATTGCCATACAGACACAGCCCGGCTTCAAGCCTGAGACTGTCTCTGGCACCCAGCCCGGTCAACCTTACCTTCCCTTCAGATTTCTCTATGATTGCTTTAGCAAGATCTACCGCATGCTCTGAAGGAACCGAAATTTCAAATCCATCTTCACCTGTGTACCTGGCTCGTGTAAAGACACAGGGCTAATCAATTAAGATTCATGGCTTACTCTGAGTAAGATTACACGGGGAAAATAATTGAATAAAACTGAAAAAAAAAAGAACAAGAAATTATGAAGCATGGGAATCTTTCGAAGTTTTTTTGAGTTTAGATTCTAGTTAGTTATTTCTACAACCATCCAATTCAGTTGAATAACTATCTGAGTGATTTGAGATTATGTTCTATGGATGAAACTCTTGTAATAAGGATAAAACAACAATCATAAACATGATTTCATGAACAATGACCCTACTCATATTAAAGGAAAAATATGATAAGAACTCCATCAGGAGAAGAAAGAACACATAAGGGGTAGATAAAAATTTACTGGGAACTATTGTTTTAAGTTTTAACCATTGTTTTGAGGACACTTTTTCACTGATGGGAGCAGAACAAAGCAAGTTCCATCTAACTGCCACACTACAATCATTGTCTCAGTCATGGGATGACAAACAAGATCTAAAAGTCTTAGAATCAGGCAATCACCAAATTGATATAAATGCAAAACAGTCAATTGGTTGAAGAATGAGTTAAAACATCTGCTAGAGCAGTCATGTAAGCAACATACCCTGTCCTAGTGATGAAGCAGTGGACCCCATTAATATCCAACATCCGAAACTCTCCAAAGTATATCTTGCTCAAATCCTCCTTTGTCAGGTGTTGAAGAGCTGGTGCTGCAAGAGGACCCTGCACCAGAGCATCCAGAAAAATCCATGTTAGTGTCCATAACCGCAAGGCTATGTTTGGATGGTAGCAATTAAATGGAAGGAATAGGAATCACAATGCTAGAAATAGAATTCCAATGTCAATGCTATTCATGTATTTGGTTTGGTTAGGAATTCTTTATCTAAAGATGATAAAAAAATTAAAAAGTGTGAGCCCAAGTAACTTTTTCTCTTAAATAGTCCATATTCCTCCAAGAATACGAGATTAGCATAAGAGAGGATGGGGATCAAATTCCTTCTCAGTTTGCGAATTTGATTTCTGGTCGAGTAAGTAATCAGGAATCACATTCCTATTTTGTTCCAAACATTGGAATCATGAGGATCTACCCATTCTCCCTCAAGATTCCTGCCATCCAAACATTGCCTAACAGTGTTGTTTTATTGGATAAGGAAGCCCACTTATAAACCTGATCGCAATTGTAAGGCCACTTCTCATAACCAAAGCATTGCCAGTGAGATGAGAATTCATTGGCCAAATAAAGCGTCAATAAATTTTAACCAAATTTTCTAATAAGTGTCTATTGCTATCTCAATTCTATTGAATATTTTCGTTGCGCACAAAAACTGAAGCAATAAAGAATAAAAAGAGGAAGGTTGAAAATATGACTAGGCAAACATAACAGAGCATTTTAAATGCTACAAAATGCTTAGAACTGTCCATAATCTGCCAGTAAGTTTGTGCAAACTGAAACACACACAAAACCACAAAGTTTGAGCATACCTAATTATCTTATGATAGGTCAAGAAGACAGCAAAAGAGAAGCCCAGAGTAAATCAGAACAAAATAACTTCACATCATTAAAAAAGAACAAAATTATTCTTTGCAATAAAAAAAAGAACTAAATAAAATGCACACATCACTAAAAGATATTACAAGACTAACAATGATAACCAGAGGAAAAATCAAATAGAAAAGCAAATATTCAGTGGTCCTAGAATTAGATTGAAATTGAATTGCCTCACTGTGTTCCATATTAAGTTTTAATGGCAACCATCACTGCAAAAATTTCATGAAAACTCAAAATTCAATCCTGCGCCAACAGTTAGACTGACAGTGAAGATTGTTAGACGTTGGAATTTCATCAAAACTCAAAATTCAATCCTACACCAACAGTTACTGTGCAAAGCTCTAATGATTGATATGGAACCAATTCTTACTGATATTTGGTAATTTCAAATGCCAACAAAAGAAGATGAAGTCATTCATGTCCTTGAAATGTCCAAGAACCATAATTACACTTTGATAATTTACCTGGAGAGCTAGTAGAGATCTCTCATCATGAATATGCCAAGAGACATCTCCACCTTTGGCCTTGAATGCCTTCATATGTTCCTCAATATGAGCGAGATCCTTATCTCTGCACCCTGCATTCACAACCAGGTATATGTGATCATCCGTAACCTTTGTGATCACCGAATCATCAATTGCTCCTCCTTTCTCATTCGTAAAGACAGTAAGCGTCCCAGTTCCAGGGGCAAGCCCGGCAACATCGGCAATAACGAGCTTCTCAAGAAATGGGATACAGTCCTTCCCCTTGAGGCTTAGCCCACACATATGAGAGACATCAAATAGGCTACCGTTTTCCCTATAATTCAGAGTGGATTCCGTGATTGAGTCCTTGCCTACAATTCAGAGTGGATTCCATGATTGAGTCCTTGTATTGAATGGGCATGCTCCATCCAGCAAATGGGACCATCTTGCCACCATTTGAGACATGGAAATCATACAGAACTGTCTTCTTGAGTTCAGCTTCTGTGGCAAAGCATCGTCGTGTTACGACCTTCTTATCAGCTTGAGCAAGTCGGCGAGTGATTGATTGCCCAAGTTGCCACAAAACCCCTCTCATCTTCTTGTAAATATATCTGATTGAAATTCATCAAAATAAGGATCAGAACAAACAAATGATCACATTAATATTCTGTTAAAACTCAAATCAAATCTGATAATCCACAAATACATAGCTCAAACCAGAAGCATAGTGAATTCGTGGGCACACAAAAGATTTTTTTTTTAATAAAAAAATAAAATAAAATGAGGGATCTTTAGACATCACAATGAAAAACAGTACATTGAGATTTACATTACATTTTCATGTATAAGGAAAATGTTTCTGACATAATACAACCTTGACAATCAACGTACACAAAATACATCCAAATCATATCCCACTACATGTCATGTGATTCTCATTGAAGATCCAATTCTGAATCTTAAAAAATTTCAAGGACATTACAGACTAATAATTTAGTGATTCAGATCAATGAAAATACGTATTCATATTGGCACAACAATATTTTCATTGATACAAAATGCCATCAAGAACAGAGTTAGCTGAATTGCAAACTCGTGCAAAATCTCACTAAAATTAATAATGGGTTTCAAGAATCAAGCAATACACAAGGTAAAAACCAGTGACCAAAAATGGGTCTTGAATTGGGTATCAAGAAATTCATCGAAATATCATAACAAAACACACACAAAAGTGGATCTCAGTGAAGCAAGACATTTGCTTTTTTAGATGGTTTATAAACACAAGTTACAAAAGAGATAAATCTATAAGCAACTTTGATGTTAAATCAGACAACAATCACAGTCTCAATAGCAAAGATACGTAGAACCCATTCAGAAAAAAAGATTAAATGAAGCAATTTTATTGACGCAAAGGTGTTTGATGAAAAAAACCCAACTGAAAAATGTAGTCAGAGAGAGAGAAAGAGAGAGAGATTACAGAAATGGGTCTTGTTTGTTTTGAGCTGTTCTTCGAAAGACGAAACAAATCTGAGAGGCTAAATGAGCATCAAAATACAGAGTAAAAAGAGAGAGAGAAAGAGAGAGAGAGAGATTGAATATTTGTGAATATAGAATGAAAGATTAAAAAAAAATGAGATGGGTTGGTGATATGCAGTGGGTGGAGGAGGGCTTTTCTCAATTCTGAGTCAAATCGAGACAAGAACACCCCATCTATATGCGTGGTGATATGGTAGCAAGCCAAAATGCATCTCTCTCTCTCCTCTCCTCTCTATCTGGGTTGGGCGTTGGTACGATAATGGTTGATGCCACCAAAACGGACGGTTTTGATCCACTGATCACCAACCCAAATGGGCCCGATTATTGTAACATTTGTGTTTTTTTTAAAAAAAAGGTAAATTACGCTGACAATTGATATTTATGTTTATTACAATTTTTTTTTATATTTGAGAAATTATATTGACTTTTTTATCCATGTAATTATCTGACAGTATTAAATTTTAAGTTAAAATGACATATTTATTTTTAACCTTTACATATATTTTAAATGGTAAATTATATTGGAACTCCTGAGGTTTCAATTTAATACGGATCCTTCCTGACATTTAAAAAAAAAAAACTAATTTAATAAAAATAAATATGAATAAATATATTTAATTTGTAAAAAATTATTTCTAACCTCTAGAAAGATAAAAATTATATAAAAATGATAATTATTTTTTATTTTTTATTTCTTAACCAAATTAATTTTTAATTTTTAAATTTTTTTTCTAAAAATCAAACTATACGTAGCTTAAGAATATTTTGATAAGTCATTTTTTAAGTTGGTAACTTATTTAATTATTTGTTAATTTTACGATATTTTTACTATCTAAGGTCTATTTGGTAACCATTTCGTTTTCAGTTTTTCATTTATATTTACAAAAATTTAAAAAATTGTCATAAAAACTTGTTTGATAATTTTTTTGTTTATAAATGGTTGTTTCAATTTGTAAATTTGAGGAAAAAATATGAATTCAAAAAATGAGTTTACATTAGTTTTTAAATAGAAATTTAAAAATTTGACTAAGACATTTTTTTTTCAATTAATTTTTTTTTTCAAATAATTTTTTCTCCAATGAATTTTTTTTTCCAACTAATACTAACCAAGATGGCAATTGGTAATGCTACTTTAAATCTTGGAGAGGGGATTATAATTTCTAAAATGTGAGGGGTGTCAATGTAATTTGCCCAGTGAGGGCAAAATTAGTATTTAAAAAAATTAAATTGTTGATATCAACAAAATCTGTTAGTTGAGTCAACTAACTGAGGGAGCAATCTATAATGAAATTTTAAATCTCAAGGAGGGGGATATAATTTCCAAAAGGTGAGGGGGAACTGTAATAAACATAAATCTCAGGGGGTGTCAATGCAATTTACCCTAAAAAATAATAATTTATTTTTAAAATTAAATTCATTATCCATTTTTTTAAAATGTAATAAAATTATGTAAATGTAATTATTAGAGTGCAATTAATTTTTTTTATAACACATATTAACACAAAGATTAACAATTCAAATCATCTAATTTTTTAATTTATATTTACAAAAATTTTAAAAATTGTCATAAAAACTTGTTTGATAATTTTTTTGTTTATAAATGGTTGTCTCTGTTTATAAATTTGAGAAAAAAATATAAATTCAAAAAATGAGTTTACGTTAGTTTTTAAATAAAAATTTAAAAATTTGACTAAGACATTTTTTTTTTTTCAATTAATTTTTTTTTCAAATAATTTTTTTTCCAACTAATACTAACCAAGATGGCAATTGGTAATACTACTTTAAATCTTAGAGAGGGGATTATAATTTCTAAAATGTGAGGGGTGTCAATGTAATTTGCTTAGTGAGGGCAAAATTAGTATTTAAAAAAATTAAATTGTTGATATCAACAAAATCTGTTAGTTGACTTAACAGTCAACTAACTGAGGGATCAATCTGTAATGAAACTTTAAATCTCAAGGAGGGGGATATGCTGATCAAAAAAAAGGAGGGGGATATAATTTCCAAAAGGTGAGGGGGAACTGTAATAAACATAAATCTCAGGGGGTGTCAATGTAATTTACCCTAAAAAAAAATAATAATTTATTTTTAAAATTAAATTCATTATCCATTTTTTTAAAATGTAATAAAATTATGTAAATATAATTATTAGAGAGCAATTATTTTTTTTTATAACACATATTAACACAAAGATTAACAAATCAAATAATCTAATTGAGATCATTTGCTTATATATATATATAAGTAATATTTTTACCTTTTTTTATATGACACATTTTAAAAATTTATTTTTTATTTTTTAAAAAGTCACATCAACATGTCTCAATTTAAATTATAATAACTAATTTTATATGAACTCTATTTAAGAAACACTTATTTTTCATATATATTTTTTAGCATACATTTTTTATTTACATATAAAATTCTACATACATTCAATTTTAATTATTATAACCAATTTTATATAGCCCTATTTAAGAAATACGTATTTCAATTATAATAACAATTTTATATGGATTCTATTTAAGAAATACGTATTTTCTATATTTTTTTTATCTTGTATTCAGCCACATCAGCATGGCTTTTTCATTTACATATAAAATTCTACACAAACTCAATTATAATAACTAATTTTATATAGACTCTATGTAAGAAATACTTATTTTCTATATATTTTTCATTGTGTATTTAGTTTTGTCATTGTCAATTTTTTTATATAGTTGATATTTTAATTTAATTATTATGATATTTGAAAAATAAATAAATAAATAAATAAGACATAATGTGCTTAATTATGTGCATTGCATGGATCAAATTAATTTTTTTTTATATTATATATTTTTTGTCTATCTTATTGATGTCCTAATATTAATTTACAATACAATATGTATGAAAAATTCAAAAAGAATATTAAAGAAAAAATCAATACTCTACATAATTAATTTATGTATTTTCTTTTTAATCCAATCACAATATAGTTATAATCTTTTAATAAATTTTGTTAGTTATTTTTATTTTCCAAATAAAAATAAAAATAAAAATAAAAATAAAAATAAAATAAATTATTTAGAATCACTTTTATATTTATATTACTAATTTTCTTTCTAATTTAATTATTATTTTTAATATCAAAATGAGTGTTTATTTTATTATTTTATAATTTAATATATCATACAAAATCATTATATGATAATTACACTTTTATAGTACAATAAAACTAAAATTATCAAAATAAAAAATAATTTAACTAAATTTATTATATATAAATATTCAAGTAACACTTTTATAGAACAATAAGGCTAAGATTATTAAAATAAATAATTTAAATTTAAAATAATATTATTATTTGCATAAATTATACTAACACCCCTGAGATTTAGTTCAATTACATCCCATCTCCTGACGTTCTGGAAATTACATTCCCACCCATGTAGTTAATACTCTCATTTTACAAACCCTCCTGCTTATAGCGATTCGGGTTTGGACTTGAATCATTTGATGTTTTGAATCTGGGTTTCATTACCTTGTAAAGTCATTTATGTCTTGTTTCCCTTTATACCTCTTTGAGTTTGGCTTTTGGGTTGTGTTGGTTGGGTTTGGAACAGGTTGAAACCTTATTTTTCAAAAACCTTGTTGCCTAAAATTTTGCCTCTACGCTCGAGCGTCACTTATTGAGCTCGAGCGGTCTTTGTGAACTCTCAGTACTTTTGTAGGTCTACAAAAGTACTGGGAGAGTATTTTCTATGCTCGAGCGGTTGTGCGCTCGAGCGACTCTTTTTGAGCTCGAGCGGTAGGCGTTTGTCTGTAAAACTATTGAGAGAGTGTATTTTACGCTCAAGCGACACTTCCTGCGCTCAAGCGGTAACTATTTTTGTGTCTGGACGCTCGAGCGTTACTTCTTGTACTTGAGCGGACTGTGCGTATATCAGTCCGTAAAAATCACTTTTTACATCACTTTTTCATATCTCTCTCTCTCTCTCTCTAAATTTTCTAAAAACCATAAGTTAAGACTCTCTCTCTCTAAAACTCATATTCTCTCTTCTAAAATACTTGGATTCATTGATTTCTCTACCCTGTTTCCTTTGAGAAAAAGGTAGAGCTCATTTAGAGTTTTGTTTTCATTCGAATAGAGTTTGGTTTTGGCATTGTGGAAGTGTCATCACTCTCTCCTTGGTCTTCTAGTTTCGAGGTAAGGATTCCCTATGCTCTTTTATGATTTTTAACTTAGTTATATGTTTTTGAGAAACAATCTTGTGATTTTAGAGAATTTTGAACAAACCTAGGGTTTTGGTTTAAAATTAAAAGAGGGATTTTCAAATAGATGTATTGAAAATGGTTGTGAGATTAGAAATGAGGTTGAGTTGTGATAAAATTGTTGATTTGGTACTTGGATTGGATTTTGAAAGAAAAAAGGGGTTTTGACCTAAATGTATATTTATTTTGTATAAATAAATGGAATTGATGTTGAAAATGTGCAATTGGATGGATATTAATATGGATGATGAATTTGGACATGTATTATCACTCACATCTTAAATTTTAGAAAGTTTGTCCGCATTGGAGATTTTATATCTGTTTAGAAATATCTGTTTTGGGTTATCGGTGGAGGATAGCTATGATTATTGTAGAAATTGCATGAGGATTAGGTGCATTGAAACTAATTTCTCATCCATGTGCATTGAACATTGCTGCTCATTTGATACATTGTAAATGTATATGAATTTGAGAAAAATAGGTGAATGTTGGAAAGAGGTGTGTATCACCACATTAAGTTGCCTTGTGTGTTTAGGGTGAAAGTCTCGAAAAATGAGCGTATACATGGGTGTCGATTCTCGTGGACGAAATATCTGTAAAATGACAATAGTAGTGCTTGTATAGACTAAATTTACATGGGTGCCGTTTAACGGTTTTTTGGGGACGAAATATCCATGAAAGGTTGTGCTGGTTTGATATTTTCTCCCATGGTTTCTATTATAAAGAGCATGACTTGAGAATTGTGATATATACTGAGCATGTCATTGTTGTTGGAAAGAAAATGTAAAACGTTTTGATATGGGCATTGTATGTACATAAAAACTTTATGGGTATGTTTGATTTGGTTTTGGGAGAGTAGTTTTTAAAAATTATTTTGGGGAGAAAGTTTTGAAATTTTTTTGGTTTGTTTGGTTGTG